ATATAAAATGAAAAAGTATAGGTATGTATAAAGTATATACACTGCATGCCCCTTTCTGGTAGTATGCTGACCCTTCATAAGAGTCACACTCTTTGTTCAATTTTAATTACTCCCTTACTGTTTTATATGAGTTTACTATTTTTTTTTTTTTTAAATTTGCTATTTCTGTCAGGACTCCTAAATACTGTTCTGGCACATTTCTAAACTTTTCCCTGGCAAGCATAAGGGCCTGAGTTCAATCCCCGGTTCTGAAAAACAAAACAAAACAAAACAAAAAAAACACTTTTATATATGTTACTGTTTATCTATGACTGATTCTCTTCACTCAGCACTTTTTTAGCCATTGAAATATAAATAACGGCTGGGGAGATAGCTCCGTGGAATAAGTGCTTGCCTGGCAAATGTAAGGTCCTGAGTTCAATCCCAGGTACGGCAAAGTCAAACCAAAACAACAAAAAGTAAAAATAATATTTGGGCTAACCAAATATTATAGCTCAGCAGATTAAAGCGCCTGCAAGCAGGCTTAGGGGCTGGGGGGTGATCCCTGGACCTGCGATGCCAGCCCCGCCCCCAGGGCGCACTCAGCCAGCAATTGAGACTGCAAGGTGGCTTGTGCCTGTAATCCCAGCACTTGGGAGGCTGTAAACAGGAGGATCACTGCAAGTTCTATCTAGTAGTGAGACTGAACACCCTGTAGACCCTTTCCTAAAATACAAAAAAAAAAAAAGACTCTAGTACCCTTCACACTAGTCTATGTTGATCACTTTTTCAAGAAGTTTGTTTTGTTGAAGTTTTATAATGTTTTGGCGGAAAGTAGATCATATTCTGTCGCATCGGTACTCATGTATTCTTTCTGGGTCCTAGTGATGCTGTTTGTGCCCACTCCCTCTTGATGCTGAACCTCACGTCAGCCTTATAGGAATTTGTAGTATTTCCAGAGAGCTGGGACTGTACTTCTGAGATAGAGCACATATCTAGTGTGTATGAGGCTATAGATTTGATCCCAGGCACTGCAGAGAGGGAAAAAAAAAAAAATTAAAGAACCATTTTGCAATTTCGTTGATCCTGTCTACCATATGCTTGACTGGGAGTTCTTTATCTTCCACTTGCATTTTATGTTTCCCATTTGTCTCACGTGTTTTATTTTTTCTCCTCTTTTTTAAATCAATTAAGTTATATGCCCTATATACATGCACACATACCTTTACTGTATTTCTTCTACAAATTGTAAAGTTTTGTGATCTGATGCTCTTCTTACTGGATAGTTTAGTTACCTCGGGGATGAAGGAAGCTACGGTATTGGTACCCCACCTTTCACCTTGGAATGTTTCTGGCTACTTTCTGTCAGCCTTGTGGTCTGCCCTAGGCCATAGTCTTGTGAACTAGTGTAACAGATGCTGCCTAAGGGCTTGAGAATCCCTCCACAGACACACACACTCTCCTTCCCTCAAGTCACTTTGTTATCTTGCCCAAGGCCATCGAATCAGATTGCTCTGCTGTCCACAGAGCTTTGCTGGCTCTCCAGAGTGATAAAAGACCCCAGGTCCTTGGCATGGTGTGGAAGCCGCAGTGTGCTTGTCTCAATTTATCTTGTTCCACACCCCTTCTATACCCTCCACATGACTGTGCTTGAAGTTGCTTGAATCACTGCTGTTCCACGTGGTCCTTGTTTATGCACTGTCCTTCCCAGGTTGCCTGTGAGGCCCCCTCAATTTCTGCCTGTTTGAATCCTACTATCCCCAAAGACTACCTTGCCTGCCTGCCTGCGTGCCTCACTACTTTTTTTATTGATTCCTTAGGTGAAAGGAGTGTATACCTTCCTGTTCTCAAACCAGTCTCCCTACTCTGCTGTCACTGGTCCAGTTCCCGCATTTCTAGATGACCTGACCTGCTGAGTCTCAAGACCCGCTGAGCGCTGGTTTCATTGCTGATTTGTCTGTCTCTCTCTTCAGATCTATGCCCTCAACAGAGTCATGACAGAACTGGAGCAGCAGCAGTTTGATGAATTCTGTAAACAGATGCAGCCTCCTGGAGAGTGAGCCAGCCAGGTCCAGCTGCCAGGACTGTCCGGGCCTCATCTGCACGCTTGTTACCAGCTTAAGCTCAGATGGCCCATGTGGAGCCTTACTGAAGTAGATAAGACATTTGTGGATAAACCTGAACTTACTATTGTGACTTCCGCTTCATGGTTCTTCCACTCTGAATTGTCCCAGTGTTTACTGAAGAGACATCTCTTCGACGAAGATAATAGGCCTTTTTTTTTTTTTTTTTTTTTTTTTTTTTTTGTATTGAGAAAAAAGTGTTTCTTGTGAAACCATGTATGTTCTTCAAAAACACAAATAAAATACTAATAAAGTACTCATTTGCTCATCCTTTAGCCTGGGAGTACCAAGCCACAGAAAGAGAAAGAGTGCAGGACATATGAAACTGAGAGGATACCTAGAACTAAACTCTACCTCCTGCTCCAAAAATGTGCTCTTGCCTCCTTGGGCCCTATTTCAGTTTGTAACAACCCAGTATTCCTACTTGTTTGAGCCAAAACCTTTAAGTTATTAGAATTTTTTTTTTTAATGTATTTAGTACAGGGCCTCACTATTCAGATCAAACTTGTAGTGATGCTTCCTGTTTTTCAGCCTCCCAAGTGCTGGGATTACAGATGCGGGCCACCATGCCGCCTCAGTCACCATCTCAGCAAGCCTTGGGGGCAGGGCCGATGGTGCAGGCGGGAAATCAAACTCTGGGCCCTGCATTTGCCTAAGCAGGCATTTTAATCTGCTGAGCTATCTGGCTGGCCTTTAAAAGACATTTTTTATCTACTCATATACATGGTTTTATCTGTGCAAATCATATATATATATATATATATATATATATATAATTTTATATATGTGTATTCCATATACCCTCACTGCCACTGGTACTTCTCCCACTCTAGACCAAGACAGCATCAGTTTCCCCCAACTTACCTAAGGTGCCTCTCACTGGCTTCCTGGCTCCCTCTTGTCTCCCTAATGCCTGTTCTGAGGACACCTCCAGTAACCCTGTTAAAACGTGAGGTTCCCCCTGTTGGAAACCTTTTGACTCCCTGTCTGAGAGTAAAGGTGACCCATGAAGTTCAAGTTCTGCATGGTGGGAGCCTCTCTCCTAATGACCTGTGTGCTCTTCCTGCACTCTGCTCCAGCCACACTGGCTTCCCTCTCAGAAACAGTCCCCTCCTGCCTCAAGGTCTGAGCAAGTCGGTCCTTGCCCCAGCTGCTCCCTCTACATACATCTGCAGAACCTTCTCACCTTCACCTTTAAAAAAAATATTGGTTCATGTTTGCAGTCTGTAATAATTACATTTATCATGGGAAGTTGGTGCGCAAGCTTCACACATCTTAATTTTTCTGATGCCCTGGCCTTCATCTTGGATCAGATGTCAGCTCCTTGAACCTGTTCAAGGGTGTAGCCTATGGCAAGCTCCATCCCAGCAGTCCGTAGTCACTCCCTGTGTTTTTCATTCCATATTACTATTGCCTTCTAAAATGCTATGTTTAAAGTGCAAGGTCCCAAGTTCAATCCCTGGTACCACAAAAAAATAAAATACTATGCTTACTCATTGCTTTTTCTCTTTCTTTCTTTTTTTTTTTTTTCCATTGCTTTATTTCTTGCCTGTCTCTACCCGCTTGCATGTAACCCCATAGAAACTTTGTTCACTGCTCTGTCACCCGTGCCAACAATGCCTGAGACTGTCAGGGCTCGTAGATGTCAGCTACTTAGAAACACTGAGTGGGCAGAAGGCACGCTTCCTCCTTCAGCAGCAAGGTAGAGAAGAGGCTTATGACTGCTTCCAGGTTTGTTCTTCATGGGCTAGTGCTCTGCAGATCCTGCCGATCATAAGCTTGTCATCACACAGACAGACACTATATGTGACACGTTACTGCATTTGAGCCACTAGCTAGAGTACAAGCTAGCAGCCAGGGACCTAGCCTGCCTTCAAGGAGTGCTAGCCCTAAGCTTGCATCAACTGCAAGTGTTTTTTGTTTTTAATTTGGGGGCTACTCTAGCATACCCAGAGATGTGTCGTAAGTTACTTTTCTCATTGCTAAAACAAAATACCCAGCACCCAAAGTTGAAGAAGGGAAGGTTTATCTAGCTCACAGTGTAGAGGTTTCAGTTCATAGTCTGCTGGCTCTGAGTCATGGTGGCAGACATATCATAGAGCAGAAATAGTTCGTGGTGTTAAAAAGCAACAAAACAAAAGACCTTAACAGTATCTTTCTGCCCCTTTCATCCAGGTTACTCAGACCAGGTGTCTCACACTTAATCCTAGTGCCCTTGAGCCCAGCATTGTACCCTGAATCAATCCCAGCATTATACACTCTGGATCCAGTCACCTCTGAAAAAGGCCCATCTGTGACCACAGGAGGCTTTGGGGGGACATCTTGACACAAGCCAATAGTCCGTGATGATAATATTCAGACTAGTCCTCAGAAACCAAACAGCCATCCATCCAACTGCCATTCTTGGGTTAGAGATGGAAAGTTGTTTCTGCCTCAGACATTTGTGTCAAAAGTGGCAATTCAGGGCCAGGGAGATGGCTCAGTGGAATAAGTGCTTCCCTGGCAAGCGCAAGGGCCTGAGTTCAATCCCTGGTTCCGCGCACACACACACAAAAAGTGGCAATTCATACCATCATGTTAGCAGCAGAAATTATTTTAATGCCTAGCAAAAGGAAAGATTGTTCTGTGAGGACATTTTCTTTGGGAATGGGAAAACGGATTTCAGAAAAGATAATAAATATGGAAGTAAGGCAGAACACTCAGAAAAAAACAGAAAGTTAAATATTGCTACCTCTCTTACTCCAAATTGAAAATGCCTGTATTTCTACCGTGTGCTGGGGACATCTCAAGCTGTTCCTATCTGCCTCTGGAGTCACTGAGAATACTGTTCCCACTGCTGTGGCTTATTTTTCAAGTAAACTGGAGAGTTAATTGTGTGTTATTAGTAACTTGCTACGACTGTGAAGAGGTGTTTTTAAGAGCCCGAATTATACTTAAGGATAATCACTACATAGATTATCCCTGTAAATGGTTCTTAGGGACCATTTCTATAGTGTCCTGCTAAATTTGGGTTGAATTTTGTTTTTTGCTGGAGTAGGGGGTTAGAGGGAACTACCTGCGTAAACATAAGGCAATACTGTTAATATACAGGAAGGAGCCATGCTTTAGGGCTAAATGACCTGGCTCAAACACCTGTCAACATCTCCAAGTCTCATTTTCCCCATCTGTGTAATAGAATATTGTTTCCTTCCTCTTAGGTTCATGGTTGAGAAATAAAGAAAATAATGTACAGTGTGTAATGGTGTAATTTCCCATCCCAAAAGGTCTTCAGTTCACTTCATGGGAAGTGCTTCAATTTTTAAATAACCAAGTGCTAGTGAGTGGTGTCAGGGAGATTCTGACCTCATGCAGGGAGCTGCTTTTATTAACATGTCTCAGGCTTGTGGGTAAGGACGGTACAACAGCTTTGCGAACTGCAGGTGGCCAAAAATCAAGTTAACAAATGTTAACCTTTCTTTCTAATGAAATAATAGAATAGAAAATACCACATGCAGAGGATAGGGGTGCAGCTCAGCGGTAGAGTGTATACTTAAAACCTACCACCAAAAAAAAAAAATTAAATGTGGTAAGGATATTCTCTTATGAAATATTTGTTTCAAGTTTATACACACACAGAGTGTACTATGTTGGATATAAAAATTATTTCTTGCTATAGGTTATGGCTTAAATAAACAAGTTTGAGGTTGGGCATGGTGGCTCAAGCCTGGAACCTCAAGAGGTTGAGTCATGAGGATTGCAAGGTCAAGCTCAGCCTGGTCAGCTTTGTGACTTGGGGAGTCCCTGTCTCAGAATTTGAAAATAAATCAGGAAGGACAGACTGGGGTGCAAGTCAGTATGCCACCATGTGTTCAACCTGGATTCAATCCTCAGTACTACAATTAAAAAAAAATATGAAATTCCTGAACCAAGACAAGAATGAATCATTGGTTTATTTACATTTTAAAGAAAAGATGATTCATTTAGCTCTAAGAAATACCAGGATGTGAGTCTCAGAAGCCTTTGTGTCCATAATTGGAACAGACTCACAGGCATAGTCAGTGAAAACTAGGAATACATTTGCCAACCTGCCTGGAATTTCCTACTACTCATGTGGTCTAGATCCTGTTTGTCCAAGGTAAGACAGAGGATTTATGAAGGCAGGCACCAAAACAGACTTAGGGCACTGCCTTTGAAAGTCAGGCTGACTGGGTTGGACTCTTTGGTTCACTACTTGCTAATTTTGTGGGTAAATTTAATATTCCTAAGTAATTCTCCTACCTTTTGGCCTCAGGACTTTTTTTTTTTTTAATGAAACTTTTATTTTTTTAGTTATTTATTTATCTATTACATTTATTTATGTGTGTGTGTGGCCAGCTCAGCCCACCGGGGGCGGGGCTGGCTGGCATGTGGTGCTGGGGATCGAACCGCGGTCCCTGTGCTTTGCCAAGCTTGTTCCAAGTAGGTGCTTTAGACCGCTGATCCGTCTCTCCAGCCCCCATGGCCTCAGGACTTTTTACACTACAAAAACTGAGGATTCCAAAGAGCTTTGTGTTTATGTGGGTTGTATCGTATTTGCCATTGTAGAAATTAAAAGTTTCAAAATATTTATTAGTCCATTTAAAATACAAATCTAACACTGGTTAACATACATAATATCTTTGTGGGAAAAAAATTCTAGAATAATCCTAAAGTGAGAAGAGTGGCATTGTTTTATATATTTGCAAATTTCTTTAATATTCCACTTAATTCTGGAGATGAAAACAACTAGATTTTCCTATCTGCTTCTATATTCTGAATTTTCCTATTATTTTGGTTGAAAAGTGTGAAGAAAATCAAACTTTACATTGATATGTAGTTAGAAAAGACAAGGGTATTTTAATAACTTTTTGACATCATTGTAGATTTTCTTTCATATTACAACCAAAGTTGGCAAGTGATAGTTTTTTGTTTACTTGTTTATTCTTTTTTATGTGTTTGGTACAGGGTCTCACTATGCAGCTCAGACTCATAGTGATCCTCCTGTTTACAGCCTCCCCAGCACTGGGATTACAGGCATGCGCCACCATGCCGATTCTCGGTAGCGGGCTTAACGTGCCCTGGGGCAGGGCTGGCCCGTGGCATATGGTACCAGGGATCGAACCTTGGTCCCTGAACTTGCCTAAGCAGGCAAGTGATAGTTTCCTAAAGATTAGTTGCAACACAAACTCTGTATTGTATGTATCAGTGAAGTTTTTGTGCTCCAATCCATTAAAATTCTTTGGTCTTTGAATCTTGGCCTTTAAGTGAATCTTTCATTCATGCATGATTTTGTAACATCAAGTATTGGTAGTTTGGAAAGCACTGGTTCACTGAGTTATGTAGATCTTCCAAATATTGACATATTACATACATACTCCTTAGTATCCCACTGATCTCAGAACAGTTTTTGGAAAGGAGTGAAGCTCGCAGAAGTAGGCACAAGCATTTCAAAACTCCAATTTTCACACAGAAGTTCAGATTTATCCTTGTCAATGAATATTTTTCTTGAAGTGAGAGTCTCACTCCTCATATGTCAAGCAAACCTAGTCTAATCATCCTGTCAATTGTCCCGTAGCACTTCCTAAGAAAGGAGCTATTTCAGTTCAAAGTCAAGCTAAGGCTTTTCCTAGAAATTACATCATAACTCTGGCATGCAGCAGAAGTCATCAAGCTCACTCCATTTCACGCAGAGGAAATACTAAAAAGATGTGTGCTCAAGATTTCGTAAAATTAGTCTTTCTTCCTATTCCTCCCAGGATATTAAGTGAAACTGCTCTTTTGTTTATACATTTTTTGCAATGCTGGTGATTGAATGCACTGTCTTCTATATATGCCAGGCAAGTGCTCTATATCACCAGCAATTTTTTTTTTTTTTTTTTTACAGGGTCTCACTGTGCTGCCTGGGCTGGCTGTGACTTTCCAATCCTCCCAGGGAGCTGGCATTACAGGTGTGCAACACTGCCCTGCTATTTCTTTTACTGGGAGCACATGGCAGTGAAAATAGTTTTATCCTGAAAGCATCTCAGGAATCACAGGGCTCTGGAGACCTTTTTTTAACTTTTCTTTTTGAGACCATATTTTGATAACTGCTGACCTTAATTTGAGCCTCGTGAATTAAGTGAAATAGTAAAAGGCAAGGTTCCTGGCATGTAGCAAGCTACATGTTACAATATAGTAAATGTTTATACGTTTATTATACATAGTATCATTTATCATTATTTCATTTAACAGCTTTTATGTGGCATTCACTAGGTGTGTTAGTGGCACTGTATCTAGTTTGCAAAACCTTGAGGGGAAGTATATGTTTTACAGATAAATGAGCTTAGAGAGAAACAGAGCTACAAAAGTAGCAGAGGGCTCAGTTGCTTGAACTGGCTCACTGGACACAGGGAGCTGCCCCTTCAGGTTGGGAAGAGTCTACCCAGAAGGAAGGAAGGAAGTCTACACTGTGTCCTGGGGCTGCCAGGTTGCTCTGGCTTCATTGATTCTGCTGAAAAGTGTAATGTCAAAGTCTTGGCCTGGGGGCTGGTGAGATGGCTCAGTGGTCTGAAGCACCTACTTAGAACAAGCTTAGTAAAGCAAATGGACCATGGTTCAATCCCCCAGCACCACATGCCAGCCAGCCCCGCCCCCTGGTGGGCTGAGCTGGCCACACACACACACACACACACACACACACACACACACACACATAAATAAATAAATAAAATTTAAAAAAAAAAAAAGTCTTGGCCTGCTCACTTGTTCAAAGAGGAGGCCCGGCTGACCTCGCAGTGTTCTCAAGCCACTAACCTGCAAAGAAATCAAAACAGTAAAGTACGAAGTAGAATCTGTTCCACAGTACAGATCCAAATGAGTATTTTGCTTTCCACAGGGTGTCACAGAGCCACGTCCAAGCCTAGGTGTATCTGCGTATTCTTATTCTAGCATAGTAGCCGTGACATATAACTTACCAGAATCCTCTTGGGGGCTTGTACATTTTCTTTAACTCTGATGCTATCTATTAAAGTGGCCTTGGCAGGGCATGGTGGTGCATGCCTGTAATCCCAACACTCGGGAAGCTGAGACAGGAGCATGGGCTTTGAGACCAGCCATGAGGCCAGCCTAGACTACATGGTGACACTCTGTCTCAAAAAAAAGAAGGGGGACATCATTGGTTAATCCCAAATACTGGGGTTTTTTTTTATTGTATGTTCCAAATTAGAACATTTGAATAAGTGTCCTAAATTTGGTTGGGTGAGAATAATACAAGTTTGCTCTGGTTGGTTTCTTTAGCGCGTCTGCTCTCTGGACATTGTGGTAGCTGCTGCACCCTAGAGAGCAGAGGAAGCTAGCTCTCAGGTTGGAGCTGCTATAGTGCTTGACCACGTGTATGTATCAGCGGGCCTCCACTGCTGGAACAAGAGTTCTGAGGCGTGCAACTGAGTGGCAGAAGTGTCATTTGGCCTCGTAGGTTCAGAGGCTTCTGTCCACAGCCACTTGTTTCCAAGGCAGAAATGGCATGGCAAAAGGTGTCATGGAGGAAAGCTACCCGCCTTCCACGGCAGCCAGGAAGCAGCACGTGAGGATCTGAGAGTGAGGAAGAAGGGGTCAGGGACCAACACTGTCCCCAGGGGGGCGGTGACACACCCAGAAGCGGGCTTCATCAGTCTCTCAGGCATTCCTCAAGACAATCACATGACACAATCCCCCGCCATGGCGAAGCCTCCTGACATGAACAAACCGTACCACAGGGGGTCACAGAGCCATGTCCAAGCGTAGGTGTATCTGTGTATCCTTTACTCTAGCATAGTAGCCGTGTATATATAACTTACCAGAATCCATAACTAAATCAGTCTACAGAGTAAATGCTTTTGAGTGCCAGGCGCTGTGCCAGGTGGCCGAAATACATATACAGGAACTCGGGAGCCTAAAATCCGTGGGGCACAGGTGTAGTCACCTAGGCATGATAGCAGAAATGATGGAACAGGGGCCAGGGAGATGGCTCAGTAGAATAAGTGCTTGCCTGACAAGCACAAGGGCCTGAGTTCAATACCCGGTTCCGCCAAAAAAAAAAAAAAAGAAAGAAATGATGGAACAGAGACAAGAGAAGTGGAAAGGGGACAATGCCTGCAACCTTAAAGCCACCTCGTAGTAATGCAGGCTTCTTTGAATTGGTGTTTTCATAAATCTAGTTGTAGATTTGATGCATATTTTACCACACACAAAGTTATGAAAACGGGAGAACTTCAGTCAGATGTGTGGTTAAAAGTGCTCTGGCGCCACCTCTGGGAAGGCACAGGTGGCCCCCTCTCCTTCCAGCCACCCATCTGGAGGCCGGCAAATGACACTGGGCATTCGCTGGTTTCAGTGAACCCAGATTCTCTGGGAGATACAGCTTTACCATCCAATAATGTTCATTCTGTTTGATTTGTTAAATATTTTTTATCCTTTTTTTCCCCCCAAGACCTAGTGAGGTAGTGCAGGCTGGCCTGGAACTCATGGGGATCCTCCTGCCTCAGCCTCCTGAGTGCTGGGACTATAGGCATGCATCACCACACCCAGCTTGATTTGGACTTTAGGAGAGGGAGTGGCATTTGACTAGAGCGTAGGGTTTGAGAGCTCAAAGCAGGCGATGCTCTTGCGCTACCAGTGCGTGTGACCTCTGACTGAAGCGAAAGGCAGTCCTGCGCTGTAAATACTGGGCTTTTCACTTACAAAGCCGTCGACACATTCAAAGTGTGCACAATGAATGTCCTAAGCTGAGCTCCGCTCTCTGAGCCGGACGGAGCCTGTAGGTGAACCCGCCCTGCCACCAGGACCATTGCCGTCCACCAACTCTGAAGAAAGTCTCTTCTTTCCAGGGGATGAACCTAGCACAGTGACAGAGCTGGAATCCAAGCACAGCTGAAGCTCAGCTTGGAAAAAAGTCTGTTCTGCACAGCACGTACAAGTATTGGCTCGAGGGAGTGAGAACCGGGAATAACGAGAACGAGGCGAAGGCCGCTGGCCTGACTGCAGCTTGTTGTGGCTCAAGACAACGGCGATCACAGCACCCGGCACAGGACACCTCGGGCACAGGGAAAGCTTTGGTGATGCGAGACACGGCTCACCCACACGCTGGCACAGGCCCGCAGGCGCCACGGGGGCTGGCGGAGCTGCGGCTTCCTCCGTGCTAGAGCCTAACGCAGGCTTCTCTGCCCCACAGCACGTCGGGAAAGAAGATGTAGGAGAGCGACCACATCAGGCAGTAAAACGCGGTGAGCGAAAATGGGGAGAAAAACAGCATGAGGACACCTGGAAGAAGCAAAAATACAGGTGCTCAGCGCTCAGGAAGCTGCCTCCGGGGCTCCCTGCCCACCTCCAGCCTGCATGCAGTGCCCAGGAAACAGCAGCAGAAGGGAAACAGGAGCCCTGTCTTTAACATTAATGTAGTATACATGAACTCTGTGAGTGTGAGTGTGTGTGTGTGTGTGTGTGTGTGTGTGTGTGTGTGTGTGACTAGCCACTTGTAACCTGGTGTAATCTCAGATTCCATTTTGTCAATGCCACATCAGAAACAAGTGCTATCCAAGAATACATTTGAGTGGCCCTAATCTTAGGGGAAAAGAATCCTCCACTTAATAAAGTCTGGACAGAAGGAGACGGGCTGGATCTCTTCCAAATGGGAGACTTAGTCCAAGAGACTAAGGGCGAGGGGTGGGGAAGAGGAAGGCATAGAACGAGGATGTGTCATAGACGGGAGCATCATGACCTCAGTGAATGCGAACACTGTGTGTCGTAGACATGAGCTAAGCTTAATAACACCAAGAATGAAAGTGGAGAAAGGGGAATTAGAGGGCATTGGAAGGAAGAGGATTTCAAAAAGAGGTAAATTGTATTATGTTCATGGAACTATTCTCCAACATGATTATAAACTTTTTTGGTGGGGGGTTGTTTGTTTGTTTTACATCTTCAGTACAGGATCTCACTACACAGCTCAGATTCGTAATGATCCTCTTGTTTTCCGCCTCCCCAGTGCTGGTATTACGGGTACACACCACCACATCCCATCTCAGTGACCACTTCAGTGCACCCGGGGCAGGGCCAACAAGGCACTGTTTACTGGTTTTTGAGACAGGTCTTGCTAGGAAGTTCAGGCAGGCCTTAAATTCACTATGTATCCCAGACTGGCCTTGAACATATGGCAATCCTCCTGCCTCAGCCTCCCAAGTGCTGGGATTACAGGCATATGCAACCACACCCAGTCAAGATGATTATAAACTGCATGTACTTCATACATACACTAATAAAAATAAAGATCTTAAAATCCTCCAAGTTTTTCAATTTTTTTTGTGTGTGTGTGTGTGTGTGTGTGTGTGTAACTGGGGATTGAACTCAGGCTCTTGCACTTGCCAGACAAGCACTTATTCTACTGAGCTATCTCCCCAGCCCCAAGTTTTTCAATTTTAACATAGGATAATGGCCAACACAATGTTACATGCATGCAGAAAAGAGGTCACAGGAGGCCTGAGGCTGCTATCCGTAGACAGGCCCACTTCCAAGGATGGCCCCCGGCTGACAGACCCAACGCCAATACAGAACTGCCCCTAACTGATCTTGCTTTGCCTGCACTGTTTAAGCACAGTGGTTCATGTTAAGCACAGGCTTCATTCGGGAGAGCCAAAACTTGGTATAGGCTATGCAGAGGGTGCCTGTGTGACAGGTCCCCACTCGAAGTCTTGGGCACTGACTCTCTGATGAGCTAGCTTCCCTGGCAGGATGACAATTTATATCGTGGATGTCTGACCTTTCGACTTGCCTTTCACACTGAGTGAAAAAGCAACTCTTGGGCCACCTATAAAATATGTAACATAGTTAATGTACATAAGTAACAAAGCTTCCTTTTTTATATTAACACTGTTGGGAGAAAAAAAAAACTTGTTGATACATTTTTATTTCCTGTATATTGGCTGCTTAAAAAACCTTTTTTTTTTTTTTTTTTTGGCAGAACCAGGGATTGAACTCAAGCCCTTGCGCTTGCCAGGGAAGCGCTTATTCATTCCACTGAGCCATCTCCCTGGCCCCTTTAAAAAAAAATTTATTAAATTACTCTATAAAATAATACAAAAGATCAAGTTTAAAAAGTAGAGAAGAAAACTTACACATCTGCTTAATAGCAACAAACACCTGTCTTCATAGGCACCCCCTTGGCTTGGAGTTGAAGCATTCTGATCAGCACTCAAGGTGTTTTGCTCACCACGCTGCACACACGCACATGATGTGTGCTCCCCTGGGGCCTATTTGGCCTACTGTGTGTGGCAGGCACAGGAGGCAGAGTCAGGACTGCACTGAGCCTCCCCCTCCCTACACAGTGTTTTTTGCAGCCTCCCAGTAAAAATCCACGAGGTACATGGTCCTCATTTACTCACACAGCAAAGACTAAGAGCAGTTACATGGCTTATTTTGAACAGAAGGAATCGAAATATCTAGAGGAGCAAAGAGCACTGGGAGAAATACTGTTGCTGCAAGTTAGAAGAGGACGTAAAGGAGAAGATGGGGCTAGGAATTACCATTTTGGGTCACACCTGTAACAAAGGATTTACGAGCATATCCATTATCTCATTTAATCCCAATGATCCTTCAAGGTAGGTATTTTTAACTTTATTTTATAGATAAAAAAGTATTATATTGGGGGGCCGGGGAGATGGCTCAGTGGAATAAGTACTTCCCTGGCAAGTACAAGGACCTGAGTTCAATCTCTGGTTCTGCTAAAAAAAAAAAAAAAAAAAAAAAAAAGTGATATATTAGCCCAAGTTCATACAACAACTACGTAATGCAGTCAGAACTGAACTCAGATGGGTTCGACTCCAAACCCAGGTTCCTCTCGCTAACACTCTGCACGTGCTGTGGAAGTCATAGGAGGATCCGCACCTAGAACTCAGAGTTCTGGTGCCAATGTAACAAGATACGAACCCTAAGGAAAAGGTCAGGACTGACGCAAGGACCCTACAAGCTTCTGCAAACTCACAAGTGAATAATGGGAAAGCTTAGCGTTTCCATAGATGCTTGTGTTGTCACACATGCATATTTTAAAAGAAAAACTCTAATATTGCTTGAAGGAAACCCTAATCAGGGAAAACCCTAGGAAGACACCTACCAGAGCCCCAGTGTGACCAGCATCTGAGGGCCTGTTACCAGTGCTCAGTTATTTAAACTGGAAACCTGGACTGGGGAGATAGCTCAGTGGTCTAAGCGCCTGGTACTGCATTCCATGCTGGCCCTGAATGTGCTGTGCCAGCCACTGGAACCAGGGGTGGTTGCGCACACCTGTAATCCCAGTGCTGGAGAGGCTGAGACAGGAGGATCACTACAAGTCTGAGTTGCATAGCGACACCCTGTACCAAATAAATTTTATTTTTTTTTCTTTTCAAAGTTTTATTGATAAACATATAGCAATGAGACAGTTTCAAATCAAATCAAAAGTACAGTTTCAACAAATAATACACTGCATATATTCTTCTTAGTGATTAACTGCTGTACAAGATGCAGACTTATGATCCTACTTACAAACACCATTAGAAAAAATCATTCTATTCATTAAGAGAATGCAACTATATATCTATCCCAACCACTTTGAATACACAGATACAAAATGGACATTCATAGTTATACCCCATTTTTTTTAAGTTCCGTTGTTGAATATTATAGGTGTGTAAACTCAGCAAAATATTCTAAAAGAGTCCAGTAGCCCATAATAGCATTGGGGCTTCTGTTTAACTGGCAATGTCAGAAATTATTGGCCTGAGTCCCCCACAGCTCAACATAACAACATGGCTTTACTTCCTATATTTCGTCTTCATTCTTTTCTACTGGATAGTTAAGACCGAGGTAACCAAATAAATTTTAAAAATTAAAATAAAACTGGAAACCGGACAGGCGCCCATGACTCCTCCCCTTTCCACCTAGCAATTCCATTTCCAATACTTATCTCAGGCCCAGTGACTTCTCGTCACCACTGCCATCACCTCTCTGAACCAAAGGTTGTTTTTTTTCCTCCCTCAGACTCAGTCCCCCACCATCTGTCCTCCAGGTTACAGCCAAAGTGATTGCTCTGGTCATGGCACTTCCTGCATATAAATCCCAGCACAGGCTTCTCACTTCTTGTAGGATGAATCCTAACTCTTGCCCAGTCTGCTTCCTTTGCTGACCTCAGTTTGTGTCGCCGACACGCTTGGCAAGTTCCAGCCACCTGTGGCTCCTTCTGGTCTTGAAGTCACCGCAAGAAACGGTTTCCTTTGCCTGAACTGCCCTCCTACTCACCTGGCCACTCATCGTGCACTCACGTGTCACCTCCTTAAGGAGCCTTTCCCTCTCTGCGGTCACCCCAATATGAATTAAGTCACCCTCCGACACCCTGTACTGTCACAGAGCATCAAAACTATAAGCTTTTAAGGGCTGGGGAGATGGCTCAGTAGAATAAGCACTTCCCTGGGGCCTGAGTTCAATCCCCAGTTCTGCAAAAAACAAACAAACAGAAAAACTATGTGCTTCTAGTTACTTGGCGTCCTTCTCCCCTATGTGGTTGTAAGTTTGGAGGCAGGACTGGGTCCAGCTTACCAGTTTGCTTCCCAATACCTGGCACGTGCTAGGTGCTCCTTCAATTTCTATGCAACTCATTAGCCATGAACACGTACTGTATTTGCTGAATACCTGCTATGCGATAAGCACGACTGTAGGCCCTGGGATCATGGCACCAGTGAAAGAGCACCTTCTCCTGACCATAGGCAGAGTACTGACCATAGGCAGAGTAGCTATAGATACAGCACTTTAAAACCTAGCAAATACATACTGTGCCAGATGGAAATTCTGTAGTGAAAAATAAGACAGGTACTCAGGGAATAGGGGGAAGTGGCCATGAATGGTAGTGACAATAAACGATTACTAGCGACATGTGAGCAGAGTGTTTTGACTCACCTGCCACATAAACCACTTTTTTCCAGTTCTCAGACTCCAGAACATCATCGCGTGGGTAGTAGCTCTGGTCTATCATGAACAGAATCATGAGTGAAGCCATGCAGCAGAGAATGAACGTGTTGCCTTTGGTCAGAAGGGAGATGGAAGCCAAAACGCAGGAAGCGTAGGGGCAGGGCAGGCCCTTGTATGAGAAGGGGACTCCTGCCAGGGAAGACACAGGGGATCAGGCATCGACATAAAGCCAGCCCTTCCCAGGTCTTCCCCTCTGCAGGGCTTCCCTTCCCCAGCTACCCAGATGCCTCAAGCCCAGGGGTAGCAAAGGTCCATCCATATAGCTCATTCAGCTCTCAAACAGGCGCTGCACAGAAAGGTGTCCATTCCTGCGCTCTGGGCTTCCAGCTTCCCGCTTCTGCTCTGCGTCCCCTGCCCTCAAACCTGAGGCTACCTGGGCTCCACTCACCAGATGAATAAAAACACAGGCGGAAGGAAGTGGTTAACACATAGATGATGGCCACGAACCCGTTTAGAGGCCCATCCACCCCGAGGAGGAGAGCCGAGGCCAGGCCGAAGGTGGTGAAGACAGCAAAGTCGTTCAGCTCAGCTCCTGCGCAGGAGGCCCAGGTTAGAAAGCCCACTCCCAGTCTTGCACCTCAGCTTCTCTCGGGTGGGGAAGCTGAAGCCACGACAAGCAGAGCACTGAGGTCCCAAAGGACAGCAGCTGCATCCCCAGGGGGACTGTAATCCAAGTCTGACATCTCCTCCCCGCTCTGCCTCTGACTGACCCGCATGTCCTTCAGCAAATCTTTCTCTCTCCCGGGCAGTCTTCTATCGCTTCACATGCAAAGGTTGTCCTACTGTAGGGTACAACTTGATAGCTGGGCCTCCCTTTGAGATCAACTAAAATCTTACTGGGATGCTTTTTGCAGTATGTATAACCAGCTGTTGGCTCAGGGGAGTTTTGTGTCCCCACTTTCTCTCTAGTATCTGGATCTGCCCAGAACAGTGAGACAGGGCAGATAAGGACCCTGAGCACCAGGACCAGGACTGACCGAAGTAAGCCAGCAGAGGTGCTGGCCTAGGCTGCAGGGCTCCCTGAGTCCTGCTCTGTGGTGGCGCCTGCTCTTCTCAGGGCACATGGACGTTAGGGGACAGGTGGGCCTGCAGATGAGCGCTCCGAGGCAGGGGCTGGGGCCTGAGGCTGGGCTCACCCGTTTTGCAGCAGCTGTTGAGGTGTCTGGTCATTGCCCCTATCACCATGTCCAGCAAGAAGCTCATCAGAAGCATCCAGGAGGCACAGTGGGACTTCCTGAAGTAGAGCCCGCGTGCCCAGACAGCGCAGCTCAGCACAGCCCACTGGGCATGCCTCCCCAAGTGCTCACCCACTGCACACACACACACCCCCACACTGACATGGCCCCACATGCACATCCAGGCTCTCTGACACCACTGCCCTACCCATATCTGCCAAGGGAGTCCCCAGATCCCTCTGGTAATCACTAATATTCTTCCAACTCTAAATTCCAAGCACATTCCATATTCCAGGGGTCCTTCCTAGATCCTAGTCCAACCTCTACCACCATCTCACTGAATTCTCACATAAATTAGTACCCCTCTCTAGGCCTCTGCTCTCCATTTGTGAAATGAGGGGTTTGTGTTAATAGGCTTCTTTACCAGATATAAACCTATTTAGATGATGTCTTTCTCCTTGGGTGAGTTTTGGTAGCTTGTGTCTTTTAAGGAATTGATCCATTTTGATTCTCAAATTGTAGGTATAAAGATGCTAATAGTATCATTTTTTTTATTGTGTTTTGTACAGAGTCTACAGGGTCTAAGGGTCTCACTGCATACATCAGACTCGGAGTGATCCACCTGTGTTCAGCCTCCCAAGAGCTGGGATTACAGGCTTGCACCACCACGCCCAGTTTCAATCGCCTTCAGCCCCAGGGGTGGGGCTGACAAAGCAGGCCAGGGGATTGAACCCCGCCCCGGTGCCTGCTTGCAGGTGTTTTAATCCGCTGAACTATTTGGCCAGCTCTGTTATCTTTTTAATGTCCACAGGATCAGCTGTGATAACTCCTCTTTCATTTTTGACATCACTAATTTGTGTCTTCTCTCTTTTCTCCATTACCCTGGGCAGAGGTACATTGATTTTACTGAATTTTTCAACAAACCAGCTTTTGATTTCATTGATCTTTCTCTATTAATTTCTTATCTTCAGTTTCTTCAATTGTTGCTCATTTACTACTTTCCTTCTACTGTGAATTTCATTTGCACCTCTTTTTCTAGTTCCTGAGGGTAAAAGATTATATCTCTCCCTCCCTCTCTTTCTCTCTCTCTCCCTTGCCCTCCCCACTCTACCTTTGCAGCACTGGGGGATTGACTCCAGGCCTCAAGGATAGTATATAAGCACTTTATCACTGAGCTATAGCCTCAGACTCTTCCTTATTTTATTTCATTTTATTTTGAAACAAGATCCTTAATTTGCCTAGGCTAGCCTCAAATTTTCTATCCTCCTGCCTCAGCTTCTTGAGCTGCTGGGATTACAGGCATGTGTCTGACTCTCTCCTAATATAGTCATGAACTGCACAATGACATTTTGCTGTGCTACAGCCCATACACATGGTAAAGATTGTAGTCTCACAAGATTATGTCACCTAGTGTTATGGTTTGTGCTAGTTGTCCCCCACCCCCAAGCCTTCACACAGTTATGGAGCAGACTTCTAGAGTTCGTGATTCATTCATTATCCAGTGCTAGGATTACAGATGGGTGTGAGTGCGACTGGGATTATGGGTGTGAGTGCTGCACCCGGCCTGGGGCACATAGCCTGAGTGCAACATAAGGGAGACAGACTTGCTCTCTGCAGCCATTGTTCCTGCTACTTCTTCCATTTCCTCTTGCTGTTTTGCTGTTTTCCACTGCCATGAACTGCTGCCCTCTGCCAGGTGCCATTCTGCCTCGGAGCCAGCTGAGAATGGACTGAAACCTCCACTAACTGTGAGCTAAATAAACCTTTCCTTCCTTAAATTTTGATGTCAGGCATTTTGTCCCAGCAAGGAGAGAAAAGTAACCGAGACATCTACTGATGTCGTGCCCTCAGTTTGTGTTAGTATGTGCTATGATGCCCCCACAACAAGCCATCTAGTGCTGCATTTCTCAGAACACAGCTTCACTGTTCCAGGATGCCTGCTGTGTACACACTCAGTGCTATTAGTTCCTTCCTGGCTGCTTTTCTTGCATCCCAAAATTTATTTGGGTTAATCGTGTTTTCTTTTTTTTTTTTTTTGATGGAACCGGGGATCGAACTCAGGGCCTTGCTCTTGCCAGGCAAGTGCTTATTCCACTGAGCCATCTCCCCAACCTATTTTCTTTTAATTATAGTTTAATTTTTTTAATATTTCTCTGAAGACTTTTATCCATGTATCATTTAGAAATGTGTTATTCGTCAGGCAAGTGTGGTGGGGCACACTTGTAATTCCAGCCCTTGGGAGGCTGAGGCAGGAGGATCATTGCAAGTTCAAGACCAGCCTGGGCTACAAAGTTAGCACAAGGCCAGCCTGACCTGCATAGCAAGACCTTGCCTCAAAGAGACAGAGGAAAAAAGAGAAAGAAAGAAAGAAAGAAAGAAAGAAAGAAAGAAAGAAAGAAAGAAAGAAAGAAAGAAAGAAAGAAAGAAAGAAATTGTTTTTATTATCTCAGGCTTTTCCAGGCTTCTAGTGTAATGCTATGTGACCTGAGATCATACTTGGTATGACTACCATTTTTTAAAGCTTGTTAAAGTGTATTTTAGGATGTGCTCAGTCTTCGTAGCTGTCCCGAGTGAACTTGAGAGAGCTTCCTTTTGCTAAGGGAGTGCCCTATAGATGCCAGCTATATCCAGGTGATGGAGAGTGCTATTTGGGTTTAGCTGTCCTTGCTGATCTTCTGCCTGCAGGACCTGTTGATTACTGAGAGAAGGGTGCTGAAATCTCTGTGCTAGATCTATCAATTTCTCCTTGCAGCTCTATCAGTTTTTGTATTTTGGGTTTTGGGGTTTTTGTTTTGTTTTGTTTGTTTGTTTGTTTGTTTGGCGGAACTGGGGATTGAACTCAGGCCCTTGCACTTGCCAGGGAAGCACTTATTCCACTGAGCCATCTCCCCAGCCCCTACTCTATCAGTTTTTGTTTTGTCTTGTGATATCATAAATGGTTTCCAAAGCTCTTCGGTACCCCACTTTTTTTTTTTTTTTGTCTTTTAGAGACAGGATCTCACTATGAAGTTCAGGCTAGCCTTGAACTCACCCAGCAGCCCAGGCTGGCCTTGCAGCAATTCTCTTGCCTCAGCCTCCAGAGTGCAGGGGTTACAGGCTTGCAGTGCCACCTTCTTAGCTCTGTGCCCGTGCCAGCGCACTCTCCCAGGACACTGCCAGCGGCCACTGCAGGCCCAAGCAAACCTGCCCTGGGGAGGCCCCTTCTCAGGTCTGCGCCCTGCAGGCCATGATTAGGTGGCTCCATGGCAGCACAGGAGAGCCTGGCCTCCGACGTTGGCTGTCCCCAAACTGCCTTAGAAGTTTCCTTGTTTAGACCCAGTCCTAAAGGAGAGTAAACTAAATAAAAATACTGACGCTTCCACCGTGGAATGAAAACCATATGCATAGGTGATTTGTTTGAATTAAAAAGACAGAGATTTCCTGCTGCAGGTATGCCCCCTGCCCCTTTCTTAGATTCTAATAATCCACACTCAGAACCATAAAAATATCAACCTAGTAAGGAGCTTGAGCATCAAGTAAAGTCATTTTATCTTACAGATGAGAAACATCCAGAAATAAGTCACTTGCTGATAGTTATACAGACTCAAAAAGGTTAGGTTGTTATGTATGATAAAAGGTATATCCCTAAAGAAACTGATTTCCCAAAGGCATTGAAATATGATTCAAATTATGGAACTATAAATTTTTTACAACTTTTTGGGGTCACACATATGGATTTCAGACTTTCCCAAACAGTGCTAATTAAAACACTTTGCCAGATCATATATTCTGATTTAAAAATCAGAAAATGTAAACAGTGGACAGAATCTCTTGACTTTCTCATAAAAACCATTTTATAGTCCTATAACTAAAGGAACAATAGCAGTCATAATGTAAGCACACTGTTTTACAAAAGGAAAAACTGAGGCCCAAGAGTGTGACCTAGCCTAGGTTGTGCATCAGGCTGGTGAGACACAGAGGCCAGGATCTTAGCCCCAGACCTGTATGCCCCTGCACTCCCTACCCACAACTGACCCCTGCTCCACAGCAACCAGCTCTCTACACTACCCCTCCCGTCCCTCAGGCCACAGGCTCCAGCTCTAGGCTAGGAACATGCTGGGCCCTAGACCCACCTGCTGAAGCTGCAAAAGATGGAGAAGAGTCCCAGGACCATGTTAGCCAGGGACAAGGCATTGGCAATATCCTTCCAGGTAAATTCATTTTTCTTGAGGTGGCTCTGGTCTTGGCTCAGGGAGAGACTGTGACACTGACCTGAGGCCCAGGAGAGAGGGGCAAGGATCCAAGTTCAGGAAGTCCTAGAGCCTCCTAGGTACAGGCTGTGTCCCCAGATAGCCCTCTCCACAGCCCCAGGCTTTCTTGTCTAAGCAGGAGTTGAAATAAACCCTGCTGGACTTGGGCTTGGGACTAGACTTGGCTCACTGCTCCCATGGCAGCCTCCTTCACCAAAGGGAATGAACAGCTGGGTGCCAATGCTTAGAGGACTAACAAGAGCCCACCAAATTCCACAAAAGATAACAGTACATGCCTGGGCACACTGGAGGGAAGGGGCACAGTATAATCCCTCTCCATGGACCCGCCATCATCTCCTCTCCTGGGACCCACCGCTGACCTCTGCAGACCAGATCCCCTCTGTTTCTGAGCCAGGCACCCCTCACATGCCATTGTCTGCTGGTGGAACACCATTCCCTCACTCTTCCAATGACCACGCACTGCTGTTGTGTTTTTAATTAATGATCAGTCATGGGCACCATCATGTCTTTCATTATCGCCTCCATTCACAAAGCATGGTCATGCCTAGGAGTTCTGTTGGCCATGTGAGTTCTGCCAGGCAAGGCTTATGATCCCTACTTCCAAGTACGGCAAAGCAGACTTGGACAAGGGAAGACCGAAGGAGCTCCAGGTCTCAGGGGATATGGCAGAACAAGCCTGGCAGCTTTGCCTTTGGTGCCTTTTTCTCTGTGCTCTGCTGCCAGCAATCAACAGGGAGAACCCTGGGTCTCTGCCTTCAAGGAACTTACAGCCTATCTAGGAAAACGAGACTCACACATACACACACACTGAGCTGCAAACGCTACTCACGGTGGTACCTCATCTCACAGGTGGGGGAACCAAGGTTTCAGGATGGTTAAGTGATTTGTGCCAGGACACAGTAGAGCCAGAACTTCCACAGGGTCTCCTCTTTCCCCGCTAAATACAGCTTGCCAGCAAAATGCATAGGTCCCAAGTGTGAAAGCGTGTGGACGGAAAGCAAGGGCTGTGGAAAGCCACAGCAACAAGCAACAGCCATCCACTGAGTCAGCAAACGGGTACATGAGCAAGATCTGGGGCCTAATGCTATGGCACAAAGAAGATTAAGACTTCAGGTCCTCTCTCAAGGAAAACAGTTGTGAGCAAGGGCATTCACCCCTGTGCAAAAGGGGAGACAGGACGGGCCCCTGAGGCAGCACAGAGAAGGGGACCACCATGGCAGGGAGGGGCCTAGAGGAGAGGTTGGAGCCGACGTGTGGCCTGCCTGGCCCGCAGCAGCAGGTCTAGTCACAGGTCAGTTCCTTGACGGCCCTCAGGATGGGGTCCAATGCCTGCACGTGGCCCCAGCCCCGCTCTGCTCCCCAGCCCTCTCTGATACTCCCAGCCCTTTCTTGAACCCCACCCATCCCACCTTAGGAAGTTTCCTGGCCCCCTCTGGAGCGTGCAGTCACATCTCTGTGCTCACCTGTAACATCTGGAACTCTGCACTGGCACTCCTTAGCTTGTCTTCCTCCTTTGCCCCGGTGGACACAAAGACCGGGGTCCCCTGTGCCCAGCATGAGGCCTACAATACAAGACGTTCCATGCTTGTTACACTCAGGGCCTCAGGGAAGCTAGGCGAGCGCTGCACCACTGAGCTATATCCCCAGGCCTGCACTAAATCCTGGCTCCACAGCTTCTAACCCTGCTCAGTGCGACCTCCTTACATGAGCTCTCTGGAACCCAGCCCTTCCTACATCCAGCACATCCAGCACAGTCTTCTCATCTTCCTTGTAATTTTTTTTTTTTTTTTTTTTTTTTT